AGAGGCTTTTTGAGACTGTCATGGATACTGAAAATTGAGTGTTTAAAAAATTATATATCAGCCGATATTCATTTTCTTTACACAACATAAATAAAAAACACACCTACGGTATTTCTGTACTTCAATTTCTTGTCATTCATCAGCAGATACGATATATCTACAATGAGCTAATATCGTCAAATTATCAATCAGGCTCTATTCGGCGTTCTTACGTTCATACACATACTGCTTTCTTTGTGTCTATTTTCTTTTTTGCCCTCCAGCTGTACAAGCTTGTTAGAGGTTTGCATGTTAGACCGCATGGAAGCAGCATGTCGAAGTCAAAGCAGGGAGCTGAACTCAAGAACCCCAGAGTACAAGAGCTGCTCAGGGTGCTGCGAGACACCACAGGGCCACGGCAGCTCTTTCACACTCAGGTTCAAGGTCAGTTCAACAAGCAATTAAAGGCAACGCGTAATGCTATTCAGATTTATTGAAATATTGTAGGCAACCAGCTTACCTACTTCAAATGTGCAGCTACTTTGGCCTAGCTACCTGGGTCTCGCCCCTGTTTACTGGGCTTTATGGTAATGTTTTAAAACCAAAGAGAAGTTGTGGAAAGAAAGCAGACTCTCTCCATTGAGATTTAACTTTAAGATTGTTCTGCCTGCAGAGAAATGGGACCAATGAGATTGTTCTGCCTGCCTGAAATGTTTGTTGCTTGTATTCCACTCCACAGGGACTCTGCCTTATGAGTTTGGTGAAATGACAACTCTGATGGATGTGCATCATGGCTGTGTCAGCACTTCTCACAGGCGTCTGCCTCTCACTATCAACAGCCTTACTTTCCTGCTCCCCGTCTCTCTCACACACACACACACACACACACACACACTCTCTGAACTGTGGTGATATACAAGTGTAATCCATTACTACACTTACACCAATTGTCTTCAGTTGGAAGTGGCTGCTATGACCTTTTTATGGGAAATGAAAATAAGTGGAGGCGCAGAACAGCCGATATTGGATTCTGTTGTTAATTAATGTGTGTATTATCCGGGTGGATGAAGCCAGGGGGAGGAAGTTAATTGAATTACAGTCAGCGAGTTGGATAATGCACTGTTGTAATTGTTCAACTGTATAAGACAGTGCTCACATTAGGGAGACGAAAGGCAGGCCTGATTTGCTTCTAGAGAATGGTAAGAAATTACTTGTTTGGTTTTGGGGTGTGAGGCATGAATGGGTTTCTAATTTAACCCTTGGGATGGCAAACTCTAACTATGTGCACTAGTAAAGCCTGTCTGTGCACTCCTAATTTACTTACAGCACTTTTGCAGCACGTCGACAAACTAACACATCCCATTATCCCATCCTATAGCAGTTCTCACTGGCGAATAGGCCTAACAAATACTGTTTTGTCTAATATCAGGCTCCTGCCCCTCTACATCTCACCTAGACAATTTTTTTAATGATTTCCATATTGCTTTTATTTAGATTTATTTTTTACATCCAGGCTGTATAACCAAATTTGGTTCTCCACAAAAGAAAACTGGCCCAGGGCTCCATGTTGCAAAGCAATCTAAGCCTAATTCAATATGACATTTTCTTCAGTAAATTCTGTATTTTCCTATTTGCTTTGAATAGAGAGGTTCAATACAAGGCATATTAATGAGCCGCCTTTATTTTAAATATAGAAATCTATGTTAATAAGCATTAATATTACAAATAATAAATGTTGAATAGGATTATTTTTTACCGGGTGGTGAGCTTTCTGCCAGGTTTGGAGACCACATACTAATTTCTTTCTATGGGATGTGCTGCCATCTTGTGGACATCTCTGGTACAACCAAAAGTACAAATAGATCCTTTCTCAGTCCAAGGCCAGCTGATTCTGATGGGAAGATTGTAGATTTCAGAATCTCACAAAACAGCTTCATAGCATCAACCTGGTGCCATACAATATGTGAAACATGTCATTTTGTTGTTTGCGCTGCACTAATATCTAAAACTGTTGTTTGGGGTATTCCCATGCAATGGCACTTCTGGCCCATTAAAACCACAGTGCTCATTTTAGCAGTGGAGGGGTCAGAATAAAGCCAATTTAGACAGGTTGTGCATTAAATAAGGTATCAAGTAGGACTATGTGTAATTTTACGTTACAAAGGAACAATATTATAGCTACATGACTTGTATTTTCTTAGTATACACAAATATATACTAGTACAAAGCTTAAAAGGTAACAATGCATGTATTCAGTACATGACTTAAACAGTCTTACATGCTCGGCATACAAAAGAATGCTTCGAATGCCGCAGTATTCGAGTAAGACCTACTTATCAAAGCTTATTACAGCACAGCTTAATAAACTAAAGAAGTATGAAGGAGCTTTCACAAATAGCAGTCCTACTGCACAGGCTAATTCACAACTCATGTATCAAATAGTTGACTAACAACCAAAAAGTTAATTATTTAAAGACAGCAGCAACAACTCAACAGCTTTAGTGCCCAGGAAAACTATGAACAAATGTAAAGAAAAAGGTCAAATACTGACAGACATTAAAACACTTGGACAGAAACCAGTGAGCAAAGAGACAGACAGACACAGAGGCACACGTTTTTTGCCCATTCTTTTTTTCTTTCGTTTATGTGTGTATGAAAGTGTCCATGTCATTTAATATCCTAATAATAGAAAGGTGATGTTAGTGGTGGTTATTTTGTTTGTTGACAGTACTCCACATCTCTTTTCTCCATTGCTGCTCACTAACTAGCAAAACATTGTAGCTGCTATTCTATCTATCAATAGCAATTCTGGAAAACGAGCTCTCCAAGTGGTTTCATTTGAAGGTCCAGTTTTTAACATTGACCTTTTGGCAGAAATGTAATATAATATTAACATGTATGTTTTCATTAGTGTATAATCAACTGGAAATAAATAAATATTGTGTTTTTGTTACCTTTAGATTGAGATGTTTTTATCTACAGAGGGAACTGGTCCTCTTCTGCAGAATCCGCCATGTTGAATCGCCATGTTTCGACAATAGCCATGACGGACAAACCAAACACGGCCACCATAGGTTCTCCTTCATGTTTGGAAGGCTTATATTTAGTTAGTTGCAATCTGCAATGTCACTGCTATATAGTAATAAATCCTACCCACTGGTCCTTTACTTTATGTTGTGAACTTTTGTGAACGTTGTTCGTTGTGAGGCAAAAGATTTCTTTCTTTCTTCCCTTCGGTGGACTTACGGGTGCAATACCGTCTTTGGCCACACCGACTGAGGTTTACAAGACGTTTACCTAGAGGGGCGCTGTTTCACTCAAAATGGATGGAAAGTGGGGAAGACATGGTACAACATCGAATAAATGGGTGTCAGACAAAGAAAATTATGAAATATTTTATACAAAGTTAAAGTGATTAATACGATGGTCAGTAATTGATACAATTATCATGATGTTTAATAAAATTGTTACTGCCCGAACTGGAATTTGAATTGGTAAACCTAGCAACAAACACCTGACGAGACACAAGATGAACAGAAGACACAGATAAGGGTAAATAGACTTTATTTTTTTGCTTACAGTATTGAAAATGTAATTTTTTTTTATTTCACCCATTTTTACCCCAGGCAACTATTCACTTTAATGCAACTTTTAGAAAACAAAAAAAATAAAAGAACTCCCTCTATGTACATTCATTCACATTTGAGAACAAGCAAAGATATTATTACATTTGTTTACTGTACATATAAACATATGCTAAAGTGGCCAGAGAAAGACAGACTTTATACAATGTTAAATACAAAACACACATTTGTAAAAATGTAGAGATTATTAGCAGTACTAACATGACCCATGTATGATGTAAATGAAAATCCATTCACTTGTTTCAGATTGATGAGGAATTAAAGCCTATAGTAAATATTTCAGCAGTATAATTTAATTTTCTGACAATTCTGATTATGTGGCAGTCGAATATGACTAACAGCATTACTTTATGCATGTTATGTGTAAACGTGGTCTGGCGGTGAACTAACCAGACACCCAACAGACAATCGTTGTCCTTGTTCCTCCAACACGACTCAAACCAAATCAAAACTGCTTACCATCAATATACTTTCATGGAAGATTTTAACATATGTTAACATTATGTTAAGCCAACCTACATACATTTCAAATTCATATTAGGCCCGACTCAAACTACTTCTTAATTCTTCCATTTTAATTCACCAGCCTGAAGTACACGCAACACTGAATTAAAGACATAGGTGAAGTAACAGGTCTATCCTTCAAACTTCAAAACTGTGAGTACAAAATAGGCTTTCACAGGCTCACTAACACTTCAATGTTTACTCCTTAGCTACTAATGTGCTGGAGTGTTAACATGAGTGCACGATCCAGTCTTGTCAAAGATGGTCTCTTCACAGAGTTTTGCAAACTTTCTACAACAGAGACCACCTGGGCAAACATGTCACTTGCAAACTGTTTTGGATTAAACAAGAAAACTTGTTTCGGCACATTTACATGTGATGTTTATGTTTAAATTGGTCAGGGAGCTGCAAATGAAGTGCTCTTAATTTGGATTTTTTTTAACTTGTTACATTTGCCCAAGAGTCATCTGTTGCTGCATCAGCAAACATCCACACACACTCTCAAAGACCTCAGCTTTAACATTTCCATTTAAATAAGTATAAAAAGTCATTATAATTGTCATTCTAATTCTCTTTGTGCTACATGGAAAATGATACAGTGTGCATTATGTACAAGCAAAAAAACAAATGTCAGCACTTTGGTGTAGGCTTATTAAAGTAACCAAGAGATGGACTTGTTTTAGTTTTTAAAGGCCCTTCTAAAGCTCATTTTAAAAACATTAACATTTAACATGAAAGTCAAAGGTGAATATCAAGTTACTGACAGCAGCCATTGTTTTTTTCTCTCCAGAAGATGGTGCTCTTCCTCCTCAGGTCCCACTAACAACTGACTTTCATTGCATGTTTTTTTAACTTAACACAGATGTGTCTAACTTGGCCAAGTTGAGACAACCAGCTCCACTTTCTTTTTCGCAAAAATTCCACTTTTCTACAGACCTTCATTCCAACATTGGGTGCTTAAAATGACAAATGCCAACAATGGCTCAGTAATCTGACAGTAAGCAAGGCCATATTACACTTCTCATAACACAACTGAATGAAAACTGGTCTACAATTGTATAAAATGGACAGTCCTTAGTTCAGTTGGACTGAACAGCAGTGTTTTGTAACAAAGATGATTCTCATACTTTCCCTGACATGGAGCAGACAATATAATGGTTTGGTCTCATTTTGTACAGCACATCTTTACAGTCGATGTCACAATCAAGTCACCGACACTGCTGACTTACCATTTGAATTACAACCATATTTCCTGTCTACCATTATGAACATGGAATGTTCAAATTACAGTGAGATGCAAGTTTGTCCCCAGTAAAGATTTAGACAAAACCCAAGTGTCTAAACAAACAGTAAAAACTTACATTACAGTGAAACTCTCCCTCGAGTCAAAGACTGCTCAGTGCTCAACTATGTAAACACAAGATGCTCTCCTACAACTCGATGTTTCTACCTTCAGTCCAGAAAGCCAAAACACACAAGCCCTCACCAAACTACACAGCAACAATGACTATATGGGTATTCTGGCGCACAGGATGTTGGGAAAAATACGGGTGAAAACAAGAGTCACAAGGCAACCACAAGTTTTTTTTTTTTTGCCTGTTGTGGCTCATCACATGGGATTAAGGGACAGCACTGGCCTTTCCGTGTTTGCATTTCTTCTTTTTTTGTTTAGTTTTTTTCGTCTCGGTTCCTCAGCAAACAAAGCAGGCTTTGTATTGCTATCATGTCATTATAAATTTGGTTGGTAGCTGGGCTGGTGCTCAATGGTTTTTCCTCATGAATGTGCATATGAGGAAGGTGTCTCCAGGCAATCAGATTAGTGTTTGAGCCACCTGTCAGATAGGTGGTTACTATGTATTGGTTGTGAAGGAGGAGACATTCCACCTACAATGTATTTAAAGTGATCAGAGCTATGAGAAAAGCTGCTTACAAATACAATACACTGATATCACGTTAATTGATATTAGATTAATTGAAATGACCACAATAATTTCAGTTATGTGGGCTTCACATTATAGCAGGTCTCAAGTCTCTACTTGACACACGCCCACAGTACAAATGGCTTGGGCTACCTCCTTGTTAACAAGCTGTGACAGCAGATGATGGACAAAGTTTGTGGTCTATTCAATCTATAGAGATAAGGACATGTAGAGGGGGACCCTGTAGGCACTGAACAGGACAGACTCTCAGTCTGGCTCTTCCCTACACACACCCCAAGAGGGCGCTCTGCAGTAGTCATGTGAAGCGCAAAGCAGGTTGGAAGGGAGGGAGAGCAGGAGGAAGAGAAGATGGGGGAGTGGGGGATTTTATTCAGGTAAGTTCAGCGCAGCCACCTCTGGTTTCATCTTGAAGTACTGGTTGAAGCGCAGGACTGCATATCTGAGAGTAGAGACACACAGAGGGAAGAGCAGAGTCAGTGATAAGATAAAAATGTGTGTGACATGTTAACTAGATGGATCCCAGTGCAAAAATATCAGACTGTTTAAACACACTGTGCACTGAGATGTCACAAATTATGTCAATCTGGATGCTTTGTATTTTGTTCATAAACATGTGATTAAATGACTGAAATCTGCTGAACAGAACAAAATAAAAAAGCTCATTTTAAAGTGTGCTTGATAGTGTATTTCAAAATGGGCATACCCCAAGAAGTCAAAGTCGATAGTGGAGAACTTGGCCTGAATCAGAGCCCAGAGACCCCAGAAGAAATGAGATGCCTAGACACAGAGGAGAAAGAGAACACAAAGGATTAGCATGTACTCACTGTCTAAAAGTAAATGTCGCTTCTACTTACCCAACATAACCAGCAGAAGCCCTATGGTAACAACACCAAATAGCTGACACAGAAATACTATTGCTTCACATGCCCATCCTCCACACTGCCCTCTTTTCCTCTTGACAGTAAACAAGGCAGAATGTGGCTCAGGGGAGAGCGCAGAGCCACACAAGAGTTACCAGTCGCCATTAAGGGGGGCCTCCCATATGGTGGCCGCATCAATAAGCACATCACACACATCTTTCTCTTGTATTCAGAGCAGGTAGTGCAGGTTTTTATAGCCCACATCACACCGTACTCTGTTTAATCCACATCACACTATCCATGTTTGCTGATCCATCACGTGGGAGCGGGCTTGAGCACCCAGGATGCTTACTGTGCTCTAACAAGTGTTCAGGTTCAGTTCTTTAATTCTGGCTGATGTTGGGCATGGCACAGCAGTTATAGAGAAGGAATAACTAAGACAGCAAAGAGCAATACTTGTCCTTGACCATACAGTGACCATTCTGACCAGATCCGGTGGCGACTGTTTTTACCATATGCTTCCTATCAGCCTTAACTACCCTAACTTGAGGAGGGTTTAAGCAAACAGAACCCATGTGGGTGACCGCGAGCCACTACTAGATTACGATCTTAATGTTCATCTTTAGTTTCTTCCTCAAATCATAAGTGGCAACTGATAACTGATTAGCACAAACAACCAACTCTATTAGGAATATAGGCCTAAATGCATTCAGACAACTATCTACTATCTGCCAATCTGAAACAGTCACCATTTTGGTCTTTGAAACTAGAGAATTGGCCATAAATACTAGCAGATGTGCAGATGTGCTCTACTATAAACTAACGTGTTTTTTTTAATGTAATGTGCAATACAAATGCTTACCAAGGCAAATCGGTTGACTTGGACATAAAGAATCTCCACCTCTCCGTCAGTCACTTCATTGCCCTGGCCTTTGTGCTCCTTATAGGCCTCCAGGTAGGAGCGGAGCCACTGCAGCTGAAAGGTCCGATCTGGGTAGTGACTATAATCCACCTCGTTCAGGCCTAAACATAAACACACAAGTTAAGCAACTCATACACACATCTTTTGTATACATACCAAGCTGGTAGTACAGGTTATACTCACCAGCAAACTCATTGAAATGATTCCCAATGTCGTAGGCTTGGTAATTGTACCCAGCATACTCGTAGTCAATGAACTTTACATTGCCTGGAAAGAGAAGCAGCGTTGTTTAGACAGAGACATGGGAGCAGATATAAAATGATTATGTTGTGTTTTCCCTTTGATTACTCAGAATGTCAAGGCTTTTCATTTCATACTTTAACTCTGTCTGACTGGACTGGCTGGATAGTTAGCCGATTGTGGGGCAAGGAGTAAGAGCTTGCATTTTGAGGAAAAATAAGACGGGCACAGAAAATGAAATAAAGGGAACTGAGAGAGACATGTTTCACCTCTGAAAAAGAAAACTGACAAACACCACCTAGACATGCTCTATAATGCTGTTTGGGACAAACACAAGCATGCTGTTAAGATTCAACATGTATAGAATAAAAGCTCTTGTTAAGTAAAAGTGGGAACGTGTGCTTTTATGTCATCTAAATAGGTATACTTAAGAACTACAAGGGAAGAAATCTAATCCATGGCGGTTGAGCCATCAATCTCACAGGATATTTCAGTAAACGGATTACATTTACCATTAACGTGAGTTATCAGCATTATCCACAAGACCACAAAATATGCAGCTGGGATACATTATGTAGAGATGAAAATCGTGATGCAACACACGGAACACATTCAAATATCTATGTAAAAAAAGTACATCTGGCTTTTCAGACAATGTTTGTTTTGGACACATGCACAGAATAGAGGGAAAAGTCAAAGTTATGTTTTGAAGAGATGGGGGGGGGGGCAAAAAAAGCAGAGGGACAAAGAGAGGAAGATAGTAAAATAAGAGGCACTAAAGAGGTGGGTAGAAAAGCAGTGAGCAGCCAAAGCAAATGTACAGCAACACACTGTTTGATACAGGCTCTCTCAGAAATTTGTTGTTGTTGCTAAGAGCCTACTGGAGTTACAGCTCTTAGACTAAACCTTCTAGACACACCTATTCTAAAAGTTTTTTTAGTCTTGTGAGAATTCATTCAGAGTTCCACACTACTGGCTTTGTAAACTAAATGCTTCTTTATGCACATCTATATCTGTTTTTTTAACTGCCAATGAAATATGGGAGATCGTCTGCATGGAACTTTAAACCTGTGTTATGTTAAAGCATGAAGAGGAAGGGTCAAAGAATGTGTTGCTGTCTGACTGCATTTGTGGGCCATTGAAAATGAGATGTCTGCATTAACAATGAACAAAGGGGAGAGCATTCAGTCATGAAGTGCTTGATCTCAAAATACAAACCCTTACTTACAAGCCCGTTACTACAGAGACATTAACAAAACAAATGGAATTTTGAAAAAAAATAAATAAAATGAACAAAAACAAACAAAAAAAAAACATGTCATTAAATGTCTCTACTCTTAAATCTCTTGGTTTGTTTTGGCCTTGGCTAGTTTCTTTGCCCTAACATGTGGAACATTAGTCTTTGAGGTGGTGCTGGACTACAGAGAAAGACACTTTGAGGTGGGTTACCAGCTGGCGTGTAGGTCCTAGCGGGACACAACTGAACACCTCCAGGCAGTGGCTATAGCCCCCCCTGTGCAGCAGATGAAAAGGTTGGGGCAAACACATCTTTCACACATGCTCACTCTCACTGACATATTTTGTCTTTTTATCCATTCTTACTCCCACGCAGTGTCGAAACATCAGGCCCTGCTGCTAAATTCCCATTCCTTTTTGTCCCCCTCCCCTTCCCGCCCCACACCCCCCAACCCGCAACCCCACTTCCCCTTCTCACAACACTCCCCTCCAATGCTCCCTTCCCATTGGTCCACTGTGAACCCAATAGCGGGACACCTCTGCCGCTTCTGCAAATGACAGAATCTTTGAGAGGCTTCTTGTTGGCTGCTAAGCTGCAGATTTGGTGGCCCTCAGGACTGAGTAAAGTGCGTGCAGATATTTTTTCTTTTTTTTTTTTTTTGCAAACATCTGAGCAAAGTGAGAGGGGCAGGGAAACTAAAGCAGCCTCTATCGGAGGCTGAGAGACAAAGTAAAGAGAGACAAAAAGAGTGAAGAAAAGTAATACAGCTCTTGTTGAGAGAATACTTTAAACTTTTAACAGCGTCTTTGGAAAACTGTTTATGGTTTTATCAATACAGGAAGTGGTGGCGCCTGAGCTGTCGCGTTTGGCAGACAAGTGGTTTTAACAACAGCAGTGCAGAAGTGACAGGAAGCAGTGTGGTAGCTGTTCGGTCTCATGCCTACTCTGTTTTCTAAGGCATGTTTTAAGTGCACAATAAGATAGGAATTGAGTTTACTCTAACGACGGATTAAACAGCTTTAGTGGGTGCGGTCTGAATGTAGTAATTATGGCTTGAAACTGAAGTCCCTGGACTATTGTGTTGTCCATTCCACTGTGGTTGTCATTTGTAGGTGTGGTCTTGTTGTGTTTGTATTGTTAAGAAATCTGTGATTACACTAAAAGTACTGGGATAAGACAAAATTCCTTTCTATTCTGGCTTTTTATCAACGATACTTCCAAACAGAAGCACTGATAACTTTAGCCATACCTTTTGAAGCCTGAAACATGATTCTGCAAGTCTGCAAACATGTCCTGCACAGACCTTAACATGTTTATATTAGAGATCTATTACTATACATCAACTTAACTGCACTTAATGGCACTTGTCACAATGGAATGTACAGAGTTAACGCTGGTTGTTGGCCGAGTTCTGGTGAAAAACTAATCAGCACTTTGATGCGCAGATTCAAATGTGCGTACATCCAGTCCTCTGATGGTTAAACAGAAACTGTTTTTCTGTGTGGCAAAGGCAGTTCCCCTGCATTGTTGTAGAAACATGTTTCAGCTTTAAAAAGGATAAATCTGATATTCTTTATTTGTGTTAATGTCAAAAAAGCCCCCCAAAAAGTCCAAAACCAACAATGTCTTAGTCTGTCTTTCAGTACTTTCAGTACTTTCCTACTTCCCCAGCCTCTCTGTGGCTCTCAGCCACAAGCCCCTTCATTCCTTCTGAAGAAAAATCTCTAAACAAAAAAAGAAAAAGGAACTAATGTCCACTTTCATTTTTCTTTAAAGGGGCTCAGTAGTTTCCTAAAACAGCTAGGCACTGTAGATTTCGGCAAATGTTGCTCAAACACTGAATTTACTGAGGACTATTTTTTAGCTGCAGATTAATACACATTTGGTGCAGTAATGAGTATTTATTGCAGCAGGACAGTGTACGTGGTACTGACTCAAAATAAACTACACTGTGTATGTTCATCATAATGTAGCTGAACATGTCTGTTAATAGTCATGGACAACGATGGAGATCTATGGTACAGAGGAATAAGCTCTATGTGGGGTTTTGACTACCCAGGCAATACTTTTTGGATCAATTCCATGTTGGTTTTGATATTTTTCATGAGGTTTATTGACAATAAAAACAATACAGAATATCACGAGACATACCCTTTCACTGACCAGTGATCAATATTGATGCTATGAAATGGAAATTGCGGAATAAGGAGCAGTGACGGAAAGGAGCTTTACAGCTTACAGCAAGTGCAAACCATAAAAACATTTGTGTAATAACCAGCATTGTAAGTAGCCTGGCTACTGTCAGAGGGACAGCTGGTGGGCGAGTAGCACTGGAGGGTAATAGGTAGGTACGTGGCTCCTACTGCTGCCATGAACTCATCCCGTTTAGCCTGAGCAGTGGGCAGACTACGCGAGGGCCCTCAGAGCCGACTGTGCGTGAGGTTTGTCTCTCTCCATTGCCTCCCCAGGGCAGGGCGGCGCAGGGCAGCCACAGCCTCGGCTGTCATTCCTAAGGGAGAAAGGCTAGACACAAGGAGCTGTGAGAAGGGCCCCGCCCCTCGTCGCGAACCGACGAGGGGGCTGACAGCTCTTAAACACCCCCACCCCACCTCCCGCATACATACACCCCCCCTATTCCGTCTGACCAGTTTACCCCGCCATTCCTCTGCTACAAAGATACTGACTACAACAGTTTCACTGACTGGTACAGTCTCATTGACCGGTATCATTAAAGTCGCTCAGAGCAAAAGTAAGCTAATAGGTTGCTTGAGGACAGGTTGCTTGACATTTATACCATCAAAAACACAGCACAATTGCTAAAGCACCAAAGACGTGTGCTGCCAATAAAACTGAGACTTGTATGCGGTATGATGTAATGGCATTGTTTGTTCAAGCTGATAACAGTGGTTTACGTTCTAAGTTTTCATCACAGAATTAGAACGACAGATCAGACAAAATCTAGGAAAAAGAATGAAATCCAAATAAGAAATGGCTTCACTTTGCACTTCTTAACAAGGCCTATGATCCTTATTACAGAGGCCTCCCTGGATTTAGAAGAAATGGAAAATTTAAATTCAGAAAAATAAAATCTGTGACAGATGAGTAGCTTTAATTCGTAATTGCCAAATTTATTGGAGGCAAATCCACATAACGTTCCAATCTCTACCAGTCAACACATCACTTTGATTTGTGTTGTGTTTGCCCCATTTCAAATGAGGATTCCATGTAGAGCAAAAACAGCATCCAAATAGGACTGTCGTTTCTGACCGTTCTAATTCTACGCCTGCAGCCCAATGCAAACACTGACAATGAGTGAGGCATGTGACTAGCGTTGAGGAAGTGCAGTTAATGAAATCCTACCTGAGCGCAGGGACCAATGCAGTTCACACTACAACACAGTTCAGTCACACTGTAATGTCTATGACTACACTTCTGCCGTTTATACTCACCTGCCTTCTGGTTATAAATTATGTTTTTGCAGAGCAGGTCGTTGTGGCAGAGAACTACGGGGGAGCCAAGCACCGACAAGCTCTGCTGGAGCCACACCAGCTCTTCTCGGAGGCACAGTGGGCTGGGCACCTCCATACGCAACCTGGAGGGGGCAGATGGTCAAAGAGGGTGAATATTGCATATCGAAAAGGAGGTAGGAGGATCAAGAGTATTAATAGAAGGACATGAGGAGGTAAAGTCAGCATGTGGGGTAAAGATTCCGTTCTATTGAAGTAAACAGAATGGAAATAGAAATAGAAAATAAGAAGCATGAGAAGGGAAGAGAGGGAAACTAATAACATACTCTAATTTTACAGACAGGCTTTGTGCAGAACAATTTATGTGGAAAAAAATGCAGGAAAAAGTGATTCATTCATAATTGTTGAGTCTCAACAACAATGAATCCAAAGAAACCACATGATCTGGGTATATATTGAGTCACTTTAACTGCAAATATATGTACAACACACTTCTTAACAATGCCTAGCAAGACAGCATTACAACAGCTGTGTCTTACAAAATGGTAACATGTCAAATCCAACAAAAGAGGGCATTAAAAAGTCAGTTTACTCAATTCCTGGATGTTTATGTGATCATGATTGTGTAATTTGATCCCATACACTCAACAACTGAGCCAAGAAAGCTTAATACTGCCATTTGATAAAACTTAAGTTTCAAACCTGTGATTTAAGTGCTCCACTTTTTAGATGTTTTTTCCTTCCGTACATGAACCCCTGAGATACTGCAGGTGGTGCGGTCTTTTGGAAGACTTTATCAGCGTTCCTCTCACAGTCTCAATATTTGGGTGGCCTCCATGGAAATCAACAGCCTCGAAAGTCAATGTTTATTTTAGATTTATTTTGGGTGCCAACTTGTATGAAGGTAGTCTTAATGGTGCCAAAGTGCCCACAGTGTGTTGGCTGGAGATCAAGGATAATCATAACTCAATTTGCCTGTGATGTAGCGCACCTGTATTCTTCTGTGTTGGTACCGACACAAACTGAATGGATGGAAACTTAAGTAATCTTCATATTTAGATGACGATATAATAGTTGAGTAATACAATACTTATACATCATGCAAGACTGATATAAGACTTCAATAAAATAGGAGTCATTGTGCCAATTAGTGTGATATCAATGAGCCATTCCACAGAAAGTGCAGCCAAGTACAAACTAACATTCTGTGACAAACTATGTTAATGATAGTGGTTTTGTTATTTCGTTTGAGGATGAATTCACTTTTTATATATTTATATTTATATTTATATATATATATATATAAATATTTTATTTAATATTTATTTATACTCTCTCTTCTGTTATCTCTGAGGAATGTAATGGCTATAAAGTGAAGTCACATCTGCTGAGGTTACGTAAGGGAATTCTTGTGAGACTTGTACAACTGATAATAAATAGAAAGTCCCTTTGTGTGCCATTGCACCTTTTGGGGGGGGGGGGTTAGATCATTGGTGACTCACTGATAAGAGAGGCAGGAGGTCAGAGTTCCACGTGGAAATAACTGAGAGCAGACATATACAGGAAGCAAAGCCATGTGTTTCCTGAATAAATAATAAAATCCCTTTTTTTTACTTTTCAGCCTTTTTAAGGTCTAAAGATTACATATTTATGATACACATTCCTTTTTGTTTGTACTACATGTCCACTTAAATTCAGAACAGGTTTAGTAATAAAATATGACTATATTAAGCTTATATTGCCCCTAAAGTTACTTTATACTCCCAGTTTATATTTTTAATCTATATACTTGTTTTAAAAGGTTTGTTCGTGTTTCATTTTAAGCTCGTTAAAACAGTGGTGAATTTAACTCTAAGTAGTGTAACGCAATCTTTATTGGACTAAATATAGCCTATTAAAACCTGCTGATAACCTGTAGGTTAGTCATGATCCGTACACATTGTTCTAGAGCAGCCAGGGCTGTGAGAATGAAACCGAACTAAGCTTTCATTCCTTCCTTCATCAATGAATCAAAACACTTAAAGAGCAACAGAGAAAAGTCAGTCTATCAACGCCTGAGGGTCTGGCAGATTTCAATTATTATAATCTTCCATATGGCCTCACCTGTTGTTCTTCTCGGGGTCCTTTAAGTGCTTGGGGATGAGAGCAAAGTACTTGCCCATCTTCAGCCACAGATCCGACTGCGGCACCCAGCCATTGTGGGCATGGATGGCGTGGTACTTGGCCAGCTGCCTGGCAATGAGCCTGCAAGGTAGAAGAGACAGAAAATGGGAGGATTGGAATTAGAGCAGCAAGCAGCAATATGCGACTGGGGACATGACTCAGGTTACAGAATCAAATCTATTTAAAAATATATTATTACAATCCACTTAGACCTAATAACAATGTATTAATCTACCTTTTATTGTTCCTTTATTGTCGATTATAGAACAAATTTCAACATTTGAAGATAATTTACTTCACTTTATCTACCACGTCGTCAATCTATCAATTGAGTTTTAGCATTTTAACATTCAGACTTTCTACATGTTCAAGCTCAACTTTAGCTGTTTTTTAAACCAGATACAAGAACTACTTGGTACCAGGCAAATTTAAACTGTTTTGCTGAAACTACAGAGTTGAACGTTATTTTGGTTAGATTTATAAAGTTGTTTTATATTTGGATAAAATCAGTGGCCATTTTCCACAATGCTTTTGTGAAACCTTTAAGATATGAGACTGAATTTTAATGAATTTTCATAATTTCTACAGTTGTATACTGTGTTCATTAAGGCTGGGTTGGATCAGACAATCGTGCACGAGGCACACGGAAAGAAAGAGAGAATAAAAAGAGGGGAAGAAAGGGAAAAGGAGAAAATAACAGAACCGGCACTTCCAGTCTTGTCGCTCAATTTCCACTTCAAATGCATTAAAATGCATTTAAATTTATGTGTGCGTGTCTGTCAAGCATTCAAGAGACTGGCCTCGGGGTGGTAAGCTGGCAGGTGACAAAGCTAACTCAAATCAATGCCCCTAAAGACTCTTTGTTGCATAACAAAACATTTTCTTTACCTGAAAACAGGTTGGCTGCGAATGTGCTCGGGCTCCAGGGCAGTTCCTTGCAGAAACTCATAGCACAGGCCATTATTGAAGGTACAGTATAGGTGTGGGGCACAGCGGTGTGCATGTAGTACCCTGAAACTTTTCACCTCATTCTCCCGGTCAACCAAGAGTTCAGTTTTGTTGCCATAAATACGGACCAGAACCACATCCTGCATGACTGGACCCACGTAGCAGCCCAGAAGCTTATTGGTTATTCCGTCTGTGAAAAACTGCAGAGACAAACAGAGGAAAGGGTTAAGAACGGGTGAATCAGGGAAGAAAATCATAATTTGTCTTCTGCTTGAACGATCCAGCTTGATGCCTTCAGTTAGACCGTCCTCCACATTATGCTATTTAATTGCAGCGCCTGGAAAACGACATTGTTTTGAGTATTACATAAGTTCTGAGGGGAGCCTGGCGAGAGGAAAGGGAATGAATACAGCTATGAAAAATAAGGGCTTGTCTGGTTTAATTCGAGCTCAACTGCCTCCGCTGTGAAGCTGGGAACATTTTTGGGTAGAGGTGGGTGGGGCCAACATACCAGCCCTAATTGTTCACTCTATAAGGGATTGACGGAGAACGACGAGACTGTCAGGAATTTTATTTTTCATGGAGGAAGCAATGATAGGCATTTGCTGAGTTTCCACTTTTCTCCCATTGATGAATATAGGCAAGGGTTGGCGGAGCATGTGACCAGCTCACACCCTCACTGTGTTTACCAAAGGGAGCCACACCCCCAGTCTGTTGTGGAAAGGAAAGTAAGCCACTTTCTGAGAATCTGCCTAGGCTGTACTGTTCAACGCACACACCATCCCTCTCCAGGATAACTACCTGTAACGTTAGGAGGTAGTTTCCTTTACATTACAAAACTAGTCCTGTTTGAGTCACTTATACAGAAAGAAAAAGCATTAAAAAAGGTCTATAGCCATGCTCTATAAGTCACCTGTGTTTCTTCTAGTTTACTTAAATAGGCTAGAGATTCCTACTTACCTACAGCCTATTACTTAACACAGAGTGGCCCACCAACCAGTAAACTCCAGAAGCTCAGTCAATGATGACCATTTTGATTTAAGACACACCTCTCCTCTATCTGTACAACCACCTCCAGGCTAAACTCGTGCTTTGACCACTCAATACCTCCCACTGTAAGCCCACAACATTCACAAGAAGTCATTTACGTAACGTTAGTTGATTGAATTTTAGCGTATGGTCGTTGAAGTGAGGCAGACGAGCAGGTTAGCAAGCTGGGCCAAAAGCGACGAGAAACTCCCACTCATTTTATCTTGACCCGAGCTGACGCAGATGCTATTTGCAAAGGCAAAACATTAACCCTAAGGAGAGAAAAAAATACTGCAGTGTCTCCTGAGCTGTAATATAGCGAGGAAATTATCTACCATCTGTCTGTGTCGGTCAGCAGCTATTTTATAGCGGCTCTAACGCACGTCTCGGCTGTCCAGCGGCCCGTGGTGTCGTTATAATAGCCGGTTTCGTGTGTCATATTTTTTTCCGCTTTGAATAAATTAATGTTTATATCAGCTAACCGGAGCTTCTCGCGTGAGGCACACCTTGCTAGCTCACACGCAAAACCATCGCGGCGGTAGACAACTTTAACACCAAAGAAAGGCTTACACAAGCAACGTGGAGACATGTCACACCGAGCAGACCAACGCTAATATGTTTAAAAATGAAATAAACGGCACCTTCACTTTGACCTCGGATGGCTTCCAGCTCGGTCTCAGCTCCTTTATCAGCTTCAGTGCACCGGATCTGTAGTCGCTCTCGTCAACTGTCACATCTATTTTGGGCACAGCTGGAGCCTCGTCGGGTACGTGAATGTAGTTGGCCATGTTTAAACCTTTATTTGTTGGAGTATCTTGGAACTCTGTGCGGTTACTGTGCTGTACGCGGTGGCTAAATGCGCAATCTATGAAAATGTGTAACAAACGGGGGGGGTATATAATCCTGGAGTAGTCTGCGTGCGGCAACGCCTCTCAACAAGTCCCACCCACTCGGAAAATAATGTGCGCGCGATGCATGCTGGTTATCGCACGACTCACTAGAGGCGTGTGTTCAAGTGGTCAGCGGGAGCACCGTGGACGGGGCTTAGTCGGTAAAACTATCACTGTGCGGTTTTTACAGTAATATTCATTTAATTTACGACACTAAAGGCAAAATACGCAACGCCGCAAGAACACACGAGTACAAATGAAAGCTATGGCTCAACCCTCTCTGTGACAGTGCCAGTCGGTGGCTCTTGGTGGATACTTACGAGCGTACTCTTATTGCAGACGTACCTCACCAGGGTAACGACGTCACATCCGTAACCTACTTGAATGAAATAAGCTTTGTGTCAAGTCTGAGCGTTTTAAATGTCAGCTGGCAATGCCAGTAGTCCGACATAGAGAGGGTAAATCCAGTTGGACCATTAACAGCGTATATAAGATTTGAACTCAACTTGATCCGACACCTTAGTCTCATATACACACACAGGAGAAACCTGTATCTTTGAACACAATGTATTTCTGTTTCTATTAGTGGCCTCATAGTAACTGGCCGAGATAAAGAGCCCCTTTTTATCCCTCAGTGCATTTCACAATTTTATATAGATATGAACTGGATGACAGACTGTTTGAACATGTAAAATCAGTCTGTTCCTGTGGGTTTATCATCATGGCCACTGTATTTTGGTTTCTGCTGTCTATAATAATTCAGTCCCAGCAAAAATTAACTAGTACTGCTCCTTTAGAAGCAAGGATTTACGCATTCAAATGCAAACTGGGCCTGACTGATTATTCACAGATGCTTGTTAGTGTTCTGGTTATTTTAATTCTTACATTTTTATAATAACTATAGTTCTAATAGTAAAAAGGTTTCCAATATATTATTTATAAAATACATTTTTAAAACCAATATTCTTTGCAATTAAGATTTAGGCCCATTGTAACTTGCGAAACCTATGTGCAACATCCAAGGTTCAAGGTTGTCCTAAGCCAGCAGTATATCCATAATCAACATCACCAGACAGCAAACCGCACACAATAACCACTGAGACAGTAAATAAGTAAGGTGCTCCATAAATACAATGCAAATATCACATACAATTGTTTAAAAGGCCAATTGCCACAGGAACAAATGAATGTTTCAGTCTATTTGTCCTACATCACGGTAGAGTGAATCTGCGGCCAGACGGAAGCTACTTAAACTCTTTAAACAGTGGGTGGCTAGGATCAGTCAGGTTTGTATGGGCCTTCTTCAGAGACCTCACCGTGTGCAGGTGTGGGATGTCATTCAGGGTTGTGCCTGCAATTATTTTGCATACTTTCCTATCTTTACCGGTGGAACATGTAATGCTTGTTCTACGCTGGCATCCGATTCATGGCAGATCTGATCTGTTTCTTGGAAACATAGTGTATAAAACATTACATGGGATCTCATTGCATCAATTGTCCTGCCCTTCATTCTAGCAGCCTCCCAAAAGCCATACCCAAAAGAGACCTGAATTTGTTGACTCACCTTGTAAACAATGCCCCGCTCTCCACCCACACAGGTACACATTTACACTTGGGATAGCTGCCCAGTGCAATCAGTCAGTAATTTCCTACGGGCAACTCCAGCTGAGCTGAATGGAAGGTGTAATTTTGCCCAGGGATACCTCACAGCAGCTCTTAAGGAAAATTTGTGTTTTTTTATTCATGAGAAGTTATTTCCACAGTTGTACATTAGGAAAAAGAATTGGAACACGTCCCCATTTCCCCCTCACTACTTACGGCTTATTACAGTTTTGCTGCCTTATACATTGATATTTACTCATTTGCATAATGGTCAGTGAGTGAAAACACAAGGTTGGCATATCAACCTTTATCAGCCTAACACTCCATGTGGGCCTATTGGTGAACCACTGAAAGAAAACCCAAACCTGTAAGACACAAACCTACAGGCAAACCTGCAAGTGGAAATAGGTGATTGTCTTTTTTAGTCATTTAAATTCTCCTTGTGGAGATAACTCTTTCCACTTTACTTCTAATGTTTCTGTCCTTTCAAACGTGGCTTTTCAGGGGATTTTCAAATAGCAACATCCCCAAGAGCCACATATCCAACGAACAATAGCCAGCATTGTGCAAGCTTGATGTCTGTTGTTATAACACTGTCTGAGGCACAGGAGGAGCCGTAGTTGCTGTTTAGGTAGACATTTGATCAAGTGTCACTAAGATAACATAGCAACAAAAGAATTTTCTTTTTTTTTTTTTACCATGTATTGCTGAACACATTTCATTCTTAGAATAAAGTGTCAATGTCTCATACCAGCATTGTGTCTTCTTTAAGTTTATGAACTGATGGATTTGTATTCATGTAAATGAAAAAGCTTTTTTAAAACATATCAATCAAGCAAAAAGTTTGTGCACTCGGTTTTGAAAATAATTTATTTTAAAGCAAAAATATATTCTTAAATATACAAGTGGATTAATAAGAACCAAGATAATCACTCTTGATTCTCATTGCCAAAAAAATCTGACACATCCATTAGCTTGGATAAGATAGAATGTACAATTCCTTAATTTCTTATTTCTTCATTGATGTCATCTACCTTGCATCATTCGTGAGTTTGTGTTGCTCAACATGCTCCTAAATCACCACCCTCATGCTCAATCAAAGTAGTCCTCTATATCAATGTTGGGGTTGAGCAGCTCCTCTTTGTACGGGGTCAGATCCATCTGGTTGAGGATCAGGTTCTCGAAGGTCTCCTCCAGGTCTGTTTCCCCAATCAGCACCGCTCCCACCATCCTACCTCCACTGAGAACGACCTGGGACAGGAATACAGGGGTAATGTGTGTGAACATGAAGCTGGACGTGATGGTTCCTCCTGCGGTGGATAGAATTATTGTGATGACAGCCAAGGTGAGACATAGATGCCATCCCTTCTTATCTGCAGTTTAATCAAATAATCAGCTGATCCTGTTTTGCTTCTGACTCACTACCAGCATTAGATCATACACACAGAAAAACAGTGGTTCCTTTCACAAAAACAAAAATTAAATTCACAGAAATATTTTCCAGATGCCATTGGCACTACAAGAATGTGCAACAGCACACAAACAACTTGAGATTTTGATACTGCTTACATGTAAACTGTGTGTGTAAAATAAATCCTAAATAAGTAAATAAGTGTTTTAAATAATAAATAAGTGTTCTAAAGCTGATAAATGAGCCACACAAAAATTAGACTCCCGCTGTTAGAAAACACTGAATACATTAACACATAGGAAAAATAAGACATTGTTATTCTCTTCAGTATCACCTTGACATACTCCTGGCCTTTGGTACAGCGTATCAGCAGTTCATGGTTGGGCCCCAGCCCTTGCCCATTAAACTTTCCCAGCAGGACCACCTGTGGAATGACCAGCAGACAGGAAGTAGTTATGTTAAATGTACAGTGTGAATGAACCTGGAGGTAGAGCGAACAGGACGCAGAATAGCACTCTGAAATGACCTTCAAGGGTCTTAAAAGTAATGGAAAACGGTAGATGATTAACACATTGGTTATTATTTACTGTATATAAGTAAACTCTCCTGCAGAGAAATGTCACGCACCTTGTAGTTGAAGAATTTGGTAATGTGTGAGAAGAGTTCGAAGCAGAAGTCCAGCTCTATTGGTTCTGATAGGACGTGTGCCGCCATGCAGCGACCGGCGTACCAACCCATCTGACGGGCCTGCGTCCACAAACGCATCTGTACACAACACACACACACACAGGAAATACAGTGCTTTATATGTATGAAATTCACTTTTTAGCTCTCCTGCCAATACCAGAGGAACTGAAACTGCCTGTTTTGTTTGAACTAAGTTGACTCATTTCAAGACAGCTGACAGCTGAGTTATAGTGGTGCTGATTGCTTTTTACAGGCCAAGATCTGAATATAATATTGTATATTTTCAGGTGTTTCCATAGCCATTTTCAATATTATCCTGCTGTATTCAAGTACTGTGTGTACATTCAAAAACAGACTCATTAACTCATATCCAGGATATCACGTTTGCTTTTCAACTTTAGTAAAAGTTTAACAGTGCAGGTGTTTAATTATTGACCATAGTTTAGTAGCTTTTAATAATTTACACTTGCAGAGCGGTTATATTTTAGTTGAATTTAATCAAATCTTATTGGCCGAACTGTGTGGGCAGTATACATGAACGGATGATGTGTAAATATCTTTGCTCTTTGCTCTTGTAGGTATTCGGACGTGGAAGATGACATCATTTAGTCAGAGGGCACATAATAATCCACTATCCTACTACTGTATATTGTCCTACGTGTCGTAACTTCTAAAGATTATCAGTCAATTTACCTGCTGCCACAGTGGGCTGTGTTCCCAGCATGCAGTGCACACGTCTCCTGCAGCATACACGTCAGGCTCTGATGTCATCATGTGGTCATCTACCTGCAGGCCACCATCATCTGCCAGTGCAAACTAAACGCATAAAACCAGGGAAATAACTGATCATCATTCAGAAACACTATATGAATAATAGTGTATGTTCACAAAGGGGGGATTAAAATAAAAACTAATATTCAAACTGTGTGCTGTAAAATTTACATTCATTAAACGAGGTGGTTGAGTGAGAAAAGCTCATCCGTCCTTTAGTGACATCTATAGGCACTAACACTCAACTGCTGGCAGCTCTGGATGATTTTCTGCGTCGACTACTGTGAACAATAGTGCACACAGCTACACTGGGGTTATTTTTGCAATACAAATCCACATGTATCTGTCTGGTAGGAGGATATTTTAAGAGGTTAACAACAGATCTGCATATATTTTTGGACTTAAAAGGCTATGGGAGCATGTCTGTTAGGCAACTGACAAAAAGGCAGATAAGATAGACATTGCATAACATCAAACTTAGTGAACAGACACAGCAAGATGCAGACTCACAGCGTTGGCCCAATTAAAGGACTTAGGAGCACAAGAGAGCTTATTGCTCCTTTACTTACCTTGTTGCCATGGAGAAATGGCTCAGTGTTTGGCACGACACCGGTGGCACTGACAACAAAATCACAGCCAAATGTCTTGCCATTGGTCAGCTGGATGTGAACTGGCCAGGATCCTCCTGAGGGGACAGAGAAAAGCTTGAGAATTAAAAGTTTGAGGGGGAAAAAAAGGGGGGAGCCGGCAAAGGATCAGGCAGAGTTCAGATCCAAGCAGCAGATCTGGTTCTCACCGTTCTCGGGTCTGAGTGTTTGCTGCGGGGATTTGAGCAGCTCCTCAGAGGTGAAGATCTTTTCCACCTCACACTGGTATTCCAATGAAACTCTGCGGGACACCTGAGCTCACACCAGCAGGAAACAGAGACCCAGGAGAGAGGTATAACATAACAGAAAGTCAAGACACAGAAATTTATTTGCAGAAGGCGATATCCTTCTCCAGCTGACCTCCATGCTAGGATCGGCACCAGGCCTTCAGTAACAAAGGCACACACAGTATCTCACCTGCTCTGCTCCTCGTAGAACTATTCCTTCGTGCCAGTCTGGACCGAGGGCACTGCCAGCCTCTGTGTGACCAGAACCATGCCCCCGTGCGTTCTTATCTGGAAATTCACACACACACACAAGCAATTGTTTGTATTAAAGAAAAACAAGTATGATGATCAGATTCTACTCTAGCATAGACACTTAAATAAACCATGATGAAGACCTGCTGTGAAGGTCTGGGATCCTCCAGGTGCTGGTTCCTCGGTGGTGTAGCGAGTTCTCTTGCAGGGAGCAGCTCTTTCTGGTTTGTCGGCCTCCAGTGACGGGATGAGAAACTGTGCCGCCCCGGGGTCAAAGAAGGTGTTTCCTATGGCCTTGTCCTTCACAGCCCAGATCACCTCACAGCCCTCCACCTCAAACCTACACAGAACATCAGAAAACAGAAGAAAAATACACACATACTTAATTTCGATAAAAATCATGGTAAAGGAATAGGAACACAGTGACACCTTTTTAGACTGACATTCTTTGCTTGAGCATCTCAGTTATAGTTTACTTACACTAATTCCAGGGCAATCCCTCCATTGCCAACAACAACGATTCTCTTTGCTTTGGATAACCGTTTCTGAAACTCCTGAAAAACAAACACAAGGAAAACATTTAAACATTTTTTAACCCCAGACTAAGGAGGTTGTGTTGTCTCTTGTTTTGACTCTTTGTAGACTACCAGGACATATCTAGGCCACTGGTCCTTAAACTATGGATCGTGTACCACTGGTGGACGTGAGCTGTTTTTAGTGGAGGAATCTGTGAAATATTTGTATAAAATGAAATAATAAAAAAGAAAAAACATATATTAATGTAAATACTTACATTATGAGACTGCTGAAATGTAATTTAAAAGAAGTTTTGCATTTCCTTATATATATTTCCTTCTAATATTTTGTTTCAGTATCAGCCTGCTATCAGCCATGCACGTTGTGTACACATATTCATGATTAGATACGGGCTACAATGTGATGGCAAGATAGAGGTAAAATGAATGATTCAACAACACTGCAATCCAAGCAGGAAGTATTAGAAAGAAGTGTGGACCAGGAGAACCCTCTTCCACCTAATTAGCTCTGGTTCTTAAACCGGTTCCATTCAGGATTCACCAACAGTTAACAATAAATAATCTTCTTATTAGGAATAAACCTGCCTCCTGCATGAACATAGTTGTATAGGGTGGGCCTATGCTACTGTATTTTAACATCAGTCATAATGGTGGAACTTTGAGAAACACTGGTCTCAACAATTTCTATTTTAAAATGATAAAACTGTATGCACTCTGTTACTGCCTTTATTTCTTTAAACAAATGCAAGATACTATACTGTGTTCATTTACATCAACCACATAACGTAGACACTGCCTGTCTCAATAACATCTGTCAACACTTACCATAGTCACTTCTTTTTGTTTGCACTACTTAATACTGGTACTGCACAGTTTTTACACACACACACACACACACACACACACTGTTGAGCAGATGTCTCAGTGTAAGAAGCTGGTCCCAGAGCTGATACCCCTAAAACATGCCCTCTCTCTGTACTGTTATAAAATGATGCTGTGATGTACAACTACCCACTACTTCTGTCTTACTCCCCCAAACTCTATTACAAAGTCTCTGTTGCACACTTTTAACAGTGACTGCATTTACATGCATAATATATTCTGTTTTTTGATTTTCCTTCCCTATACCCATTCTAATATCTGAACTTTGCTTATTGGCCAATACTGAGGACCAATACGATATGTGTGTGTTAAATATACACACACAATTCTTTAACAAGCCTACATTATTGCATTGTTGTGTGGCCTAACTCAGAGTCTGATACCGCCTGATTGAGAATGCCTAACCCGGTCATGCTTTGCCTAGCTTAGCATAACATCTGGGAGGAAACAAAGGAAGAAGGGGGAGAAAACAACAATAGAACCCCTGCTTAAAGGAGAGATGAAGGGTGTAGGGAATGAAGGAGCAGAAGCTATGTTGGGAGTAGGGAGAACCAGCTAGCCTGGGTCTGTCCAATGGTTAAAAAAAAAAAAAACCTACTAGAACCTCTGAAGCCCAGTAATTAACAAATGACTGTACATACAACATGTTAGCTGCTCCAGTGACTTGGAGTCTCCACTTGTTGCCTGGCAACCATATGATAAGATGTGTTGTTTTTACCTGTAGGTGTTAGTGAGCGTAAGAGGTGCTGGTGGCTAAAGCTGGGAGCCATATGTCAAATGCAGTTTCAAGAGTTAATGCAGGAACATAATGTGTAAAAATTAAGTGTTAAATTACACCAGTAATCAGCTGATTATATCCTGTGTTGATGATTCAAATGAAGTGTGACTGGTGCAAGTTCCCGCCTGGAAAGTGGGTTAGTGGTTAGCTAATCAAGTACAGTAGTTCACCAACTAAATGCATCTGACATGTAAAGCCACATATTTTTACAAACATGCACACATGGATTTTGTTTGCCACTTTCCAGTGTGATGAATGAAAGATAATTCAACTGTAGAACAGACCTGTAATTGAGGTGTCCCAGAACATGACTTTATTTCACACCTGCCAGCTAATGAAATTTGAATCATTCTATTTCATGTTTTAAGCCACTTATGCTCTAGAGTAAGTAGTAGTCGACAATAATAGGCTATTTTTACAGTAACTGTTTGGATCACATGGCATACCGAACTGATTCGGTTGCATACCAAACTAAACATTTCACGACGAAAACCTGTACTGTTACCCTACTTTTGCCTCACAGTTTTCAGCCTGTATATAACAGTACACTAAGGTATTATATGTTTCTGAAAATATTTTAAGTGAGAAATAGGCAATGAAGTAAAACAATCTTGATTTATATTTGTGTAGCTTTAAGTTTGATCTGAGTTTCGTGCAGTGTGCTTGACAGACCTGTCAGTCTCCGTGTAGCCACACCCTCAAACATACCCTGCTTTATCTTCTATTTTACACCCAATGTGACCCTAATTTACCAAATGAACATCATACTGTATGGAAGAAAACTTGAAACCAGCCAGACCATAAACTCATTAGGAAACTGTTGACTGAGGT